GCTGATATTTTGTGAGTTACATAGCAATCTTCTTATTTGTAAAATGGAAGTAGTAGTTACCACGATGGTACATTAAGAAAAATAAGTAAGTGACTCCATAGAACATTGTTTGCTTGCAGTATATTTATTTTGTTATGGATGTGTATAAAATTATAACATAATATGATTTGGAAAACCTGGATTTCTTTCTATATCCTTTTTTTACTAAAATATGCACACGGTTAATAATATCATTTTCTCTTATTTTCCTCTCTTCCAAAATAATTGAAATAACATTTATCTCTTCAACAAAATCATTCAGTTTTGTACCATGTCAAATTCAATAACGTCTTACACTTTAAGTCTCTTATAAACTATATGATATTGAGTTCTGTGCCCTGCACAGAAGCTGTATAACCAAGAAAGGAGATAGAGAAGCATGTGCCTGAGAAAGCAAGGCTGTCTTTTTTCTTTAAAGTTCTTAATATATTGCACATAGTTAATAAATGATGTGTATGTACTATCTTGCCCCATAATGGTTTTCTTGGTAGAGATACTTAATATCATAAGAAAACCCACAAACAGCTTCACAGAGACTCATCTTTTGGTCTGAGTCAAAGATGTTAAGCTTATAAGATGGAACGATACTGAAAATTTGTTTTCTTCTCCTGTTTGGTAGGTATTTACTATCTCTTCGATTCCTAAGTCACCAAGTTGGTGATTTGGCTTTTTTTCCTACTTTTTATTCAACAATAAATCATTAAAGCATTTTCTATATGCTGAATACTATTTGTGTATTCCATTGGTTTTATTATATTTTATTAGTATTAGCTCCTTGAGAATGGATTTTCACTTACCCACTTTGTAGGTGAATAAAAAAATGGAATACTAGGTTGCCTGATAAGGCACCTTGCAAGGAGGGAGCCAGCATGCCTCCCAAGTCCCTGGTTCCACAGACCTTGTCAGGTTGCGCTTCTAGCATACTCTAAGTTTTCTATCTCAGTTCTGTGACTTATGCTTCCAGCTCAAGAATCAACTTCAATTATTGATATTATATTTTCTGTTTCCACCACAATCACCTGTTTCCTCTCGTGTCATTATCTCCTCATAGGTCATTGAACAGTGCATCTATTTTCTTTGAATGAGGGACTCAGTTGTCTCCATTTTGGTAAATCAAAGGGTATGGCATCAGTGTAAAAATATAACCACAAAAAATGCTCTCAAGAGCATTACACAATGTAACAAGCAAACAAATTCTGTCTCTGAGAGGAAGCTGTAAATGAAATCTCACTTCTATCATTTCAATAATGACTTTTAATTTTCAGACTGTTTTTGCCAGGATTTTAGTTACATGTTATCTACTAAATTCTTAATCTAGTTGCAAGTTTGAGAACTAAAATCCAAGATGATTATAGTCATTGTTTAAACAATCTTCTATACCCATCTTTAAAAACACACAAGAAGATATCTTTAGATATGTTCATAATTATATCAGAGATTAATATATTTATTGTTATTCTATAAAAATGATTATTTTAAAATTTTGCATACTCTTAAATTATGTCATATTAAAATGTGGTCTTATAATGTAAAATAAACAATGGTTTATGAATATTTGTAATCTAGTTTCAACTTTCTTTCTAATTAGCTGTGAAACCTTGGACAGGTTCCAAATGTTTGCAATAGCAACAATTTCCTTATCATGAGAACAGAGGACTGTGTTACCTCTAAGGTGCATCCCAAATCTGCATCCTGACTCAATTTAATTTGTACATCATGCTCCTTTATTTAACAGATAGCATGAAGACAATCAACTACCTCTGCTCTGTCAGGAAAAGAGGTTTGCATTAATGATCTTGATGATACCAAAGGAAAGCTGAACTATTTCAGAATATAACTATTAAAAACACATAGAAGCCAAACATAAAAAGATTTTAAAGTAAGATAAAGATTGTTATTCACAATAGGAACAGTAAATATTGTTCTGTTCTGTGAGCAGTAATAATCCTGCCTTTGTCTGCCATTCTCAATGACCAGAAAAGACTTACTAAAACAGCGTATTTTTTTCTCATATAATAAATAGCTGTCCTATTTCAACCACAGTACTCAAAACAGGTATATACATTAGCACTAGGCAACAAGTCTTTATTATTGTTACAGAATGCAGAAAACACATTATGATTAATTTGATTGTCAGCAATTCTGTTACCTAATGATGATTTGATTCGTAATTTCACCTGGACATAATGGGGATTATCCTATAGGTTTTTTGAAAGGATAGACTCTAGTAATATCTCCCAAGCACTTGTCACCGTCTCATCCCATAACAGGAATTCAACAGATAACATCCTTCCAAGATGGTAACCTTAAGGTCCTTTCAGTGAAATCACCAAGTTTTGTGAGTCTTCATAAAATATATAAATATACACACCATAGAACCCAGAAACTCTGCTTCAAGGCAGTTACTCAATAAAAATGAAAATGACATATATACAGATATTTATAACAATTGTATTAATGACTTCTAAAACCAAAGTAAAAGGTCAGTCAGTTGGTAAATAGATAATCACATTGTGGTTCTCAGTGTAGCATTGTTCACTGATTACACAGAATGAACTACTAGAATATGCAATAATATAGATTAATCTCCAAATATATTAAGTAAAATAATCTTGAATTAGTGACTGTATTTCTTTTACATCATCTAAAGAAGGCAAAGATATAAACAGGCTAAGTATAGAAGGAGTGTAGGAAGAGGGCCCACTTGTTCATCCCGGCTGCCCGGCTAGCTTAGCCCCGAAATAACCACACAGAAATTGTATTCATTAAAACACTTATTGGCCCATTAGCTCTAACTTCTTATTGGCTAACTCTTATATTAATTTAACCCATTTCTATTAATGTGTATCTTGCCATGTGGCTGTGGCTTACCAGGTAAAATTCCCAGCTTCTGTCTTCTGCTGCTTCATGGCTTGTTCCTAACTCTGCCTCCTTTCTCCCAGCATGCCATTTAGTTTTCCCCACCTACCTAAGTTCTGCCCTTTCAACAGGCCAAAGCAGTTTTTTTATTCATTAACCAATGAAAGCAACACAGAGACAGAAGGACTTACCACACCAAAGGAGGCTAGCGACTGTGTTGGTGTGCAATGGAGATAATGGGAATGCTTTATATCTTGAGTGTGATGCTTATCACATGACCATATATATTGATCAGAATTTACAGAAGCAACCAGATGTGGTGGCTCATGCCTGTAGTGGCAGCATTGAGCTGAAAAGAAGATTGCCTCAAGTTCAAGACCTGGGCTGCACTATGTTCCAGAAAACCCTGACCTAGATTTCTTACTGTACCTCATAACATTACAGATAGTAGGTTTGAAATCTTGGGTTTAACTTTCTGGAAATTACAACTCCATGAGCCTAATTGTTAAAATCTGTGTGTATACTTACTTGATGTCATATATATGTTTCACTTTCATGAAACTTTACCTAAAATAAGTCTATGAGTAGAATTATAAAAATACAAATAGTAAAACATGTCGATAAGGATATAACTACAGTAAAGTTTAAAAAAAACATTTTAACATGAAATGAGAGTTTATTTTGAATGTTTTTTTCCTAGCTTGCAGGGATATCTCATCTATAGTGACAGAATTCAGAAGATTAAAACAATCATTCAAACTTCTTAAATTTAATTACGGAATAAGTCTGTTAAATTCCTTAGCCCAGATAGAAAACAAACTAATATCTTGTGTCTAAACTTACATGCAAATATCCAGTCTGCTGCATGCTTTTAGAATTTTCCATTATTAAAGTAGAAAAGTTGCATTATCTAGTGTTCATTTTCATTACTCTAATTAATTTTCTCATAATTGGGATTTTATTATTTTTCTTATTTATTGCATTTTTATGCAAGAAACTAATCCCACTGAAATCATATGCATCCAACAAAATGCGGAGACTCCAGAATTTAAATTACTTTTAATTAATGACTGTGGTTTTCAAGTTTTGAAACAATTACATGTTCACTGTCAAATACTATTTAAACTTAAAGACAATATTTTCATGCAAATTAAGCTTTGAAAAAATAATACTAAAACTTGACTTACGAGGACCATAGTTTTAAAGTAATGTTAAACTCTTTTTTGACATTTCTTAAAACTTGTGGAAATGATGGTGGGAACCTGGAAAATTATTTTAAAATTACAATGTTGAGCACTACCAAAATAAAAAAATGAAGGTAACAATTCAGTGCAAAATGCTAAGAGAAAACACATTAAAGTTTATTCCACGAAAGACTGATGTGTCTATAAGAAATAGAAAAGTTTACCTTGTTCCAGACATCACACAATATATACATACATGAAAATACCATAGTTCCCATTAAGATGTATGCTGATTATTCTTTATTGGTTAAAATTAACTCGGTTTAAAGTTTTGTAGACGAAATTGCCTATGCTTTAAGATAATACCCTCAAGCAAAGTATCTCTAGCGATGGAAGTTGACATCAATCTACTTTTTAGGGAAAAAATTCTCTTGCAGAAAGGAATTGAAAGGGTTAACTGATATCTATAAGAATCAGGTCATAGTTTTGTGTATCAAAGATGGCTTGACAACATACTTAGGATTTCCTGAGTTTTACTGTTAATAAAGTTAAAAGAAAATCTAGTGAGAGCAGGCTGTGGAGCCCCATTAAGTCTGTATCTGAAATGCCCATTGTGCTTATCTCTGCTCCAGACACTTCTCTGAACCCGTGCTCCACATTCTGAGTTCTGTGAATAAAGTTAAACATTGCAGAAGGGCATATCTGATACTACAGATGAAATAAGGTTGAAGTTAGGGACTAGCAAAGTTCATACACTTGATAAGCTTTGCCTTTAATATTTCTATTACTAATGCGTTTGGACTCTTGTGTGGAGAGTTGTGGCTGCTAAAATGTGGCTAGATTTTAAACTAACAAAAAGGTTTATCTCATATTCATCCTTTGTCCTGTGTTTTAACATGCCAAAACTAATATTTGCAGGCAAAATTGCTATCGATGCAGCAAGCCAGAGAAACTGCAGTTGAGCAGTACAAAAGGCTGGAGGAAGAAATACAGACCTTACGGGTTTACTACAGGTAAAACATGTCATACTTCAGTGCACGTGGTATTGTTTACTACAGGTAAAACATGTCGTACTTCAGTGCACGTGGTATTGTTTGAGAAACCCCTGCACCTGATATTGTAATTGTGGCTGAAGAAATTTTTCAATGAAATTAGACTCTGAAGATTTAAAGCATCTTATAGTATTTAAACTACCTAGAATATTGTTTCTTACCTTTTATTCCTACATTTGGTTAACATTTAAGTTTATACCATTAAATTCATATAACTCATTAAATAGTCAATTGTCTAAGTGAGGCCTCCTGGTTAGTTGTGGTATTTGCTCATCTAAATGCCACTTCTAAAATTATGTGTGTACTTTATACATGTGTGGATAGATAGATAGATAGATAGATAGATAGATAGATAGATAGATAGACACACACTGTGTGTGAATGAGTGTGTATAATGCATGTATATAACATGAACTTTTACCTTTATAATATGCCATCAGAAATTTCTATGGAAATATCACTAAAGATACTTAACACAATCATTTCATTTCTATTCTTTTTTTCTTTTTTTTTGAGACGGGTTTTTCTGTAGCTTTGGAGCCTGTCCTGAAACTCTCTCTTGTAGCCCAGGCTGGCCTCAAACTCACAGGGATCCGCCTGCCTCTGCTTCCCAAGCGCTGGGCTTAAAGGTGTGAGCCACTGTGGCCGGGCCATTGCATTTCTATTCTAGGATAGTTATAAAAAGTGCAAACTATATAAATACTATATAATAAGGAATAATACTTGTTTTGCAATACTTTTGTTTCAGGTTTCTGTGGGGTGTATGAAATAAGTATTTTGGGTTAAATACAAAATGTTAGATTTCCATGGTGGGCAATGGTAAAAGAAATTGTTTGATATATGGATGTTCTTGGTTCTTAAACAGTAAATATTAAACTACCTTAAGTCGAAAATGTGAAAAGCCATTGAGGCTATGGGTTAAACTTCAATGGGATTTTTCTCAAACTAACATTGTTAAATGCCTAAAATATAATGAAATAAAAATAAGTTTGTTTAATTGCAATTATGAAAATATATCTTGATATATGTATATGCTTCATTATTAATGTATTAAATAGCAGCAAACCTAGCAGTACATATACTAATAACTGCAATTTCTTACTAATGATGATTATGGATGCTGTTTGGGTGATAATTGCAAGTTCTAGGGACTAAAACACCAAGCATTACTTTCAGCACAGCTGCCTTAAGTACCGTGTTTATTACCTGCACTGGCAGTTCAAGAAAAGAAAATACTAATGTCTTCCCACAAATAAACAAATAAACAAACAAACAAACACCACTAAGAAACCCTGCTTTGGGGAAGTGTCTATGACATCTGCAGTGGTTGATTATTTTTGTGGCTTGTTTTCCCCACCCTCAAATCGAGGCTAAAAATCCATAACTTCTAAATGTGACCTTTTCTGAAATTGGTTCATTATAGATGAGAACTAGTCAAAATGTGGTCATTTGGATGCGTTTTAATCCCCCATGACAGGCGTTTTTAAGGGAAAGGGGAAACTTGTACCCTGAGTCAGGTAGACACTGAGAAGTACATTGTGAAGATGCACAGGCAGAAGACAGCATGCAGCAGAAAAGCTGTGAAAGACTGCTACCAGGATGCAAACCCAAGTTTGCCTGGGAAGATTCACAGCCCACCCGTCACCTGATTTCAGTCTCTTGTGTCCATAACTGCCCAGTTTATAGTTCTTTGTTACAGTACCCATAGAAAACTACCACATTTGTAAAACGACACATGTGTTTGGGTGCGTAATTTGTTTCTCCAATTGTAGCCAGTGTCTGTGGGAGAGCATACAGGTAAATAAACTCCAGTGGTGACAGAAAGCATCTTGCTCTCCCATTTTTTTTGTTTTAATAGCATAATGAATATTGTAGTGCTTGTATGGTTTTTGTACTATTCTTAGTTGTAGCTATCATTAGATATCACTTAAGTTAGTTAGTCGATAAAATATCCTGGTTTAGTTTCCAGTACCCACATTGAGCAACTCACAACTGCCTATAATTTTAGTACCAATGAAGATGACATCCTCTTCTGACCTCCAGGGTCCCCAGCACAAGTGTGTAAGAGCATAAGTGCAAGCATGCACACATACAGAAAGTAAAAAGGAAGAAATCAGTTATTAAAGAAATCTCCTGAGAATTTACTAAATCTGAGAGTTATATAACTTCTCCTAAACAGAGTTAGCAGTTTCTGAATTAAACATACATTTTCCACATGCCTTCTCATTGCTGCCTTTTGCAATAGCCATACTCTGGTCTTTCATAAGTGAACCTCACTTTTCTGCTTTCTGCTGGACTTAGAAAGAGGTGGGATTTAGAGTGTGTACAGAACAGGAAGATGTCCGGACAGTGATCCTAGGTGTGAAAGAGATAAGAACCACTAGGAGCAAAAGTGGATAAATATAATACTCACAGTACATTGTGTGTAAGTGTGAAACCATCAAAAATAAAGAAGGCACTAACCAATTAATCAGGACTCAGCTAGTGGTATATACCATGAGCTCATATGGTTATTGCTAACTAATTAGAAATATATTCTAATCAGCTGTTCTTGTATATCAGTATAAAAGACAAAAATGGAAATGACTCTAGATTACAAGATTACAGGACAAAAATGATGGGAAATAAGGAATCTAAGGGTATTAGTTGAAAGATAAAAGATAGTCTGAACTATGTCAAAAAAATAAAGTTGAAGGGACATGTATATTGAGAGAGAGAGAGACAGAGAGAGAGAGAGAGAATCAAGAAATCATAATCAACAGAAGATCACAAAATATGTATCAGTGTGCTTACTATAAGACCAAAATATAAAACGATCTAATAATAGTCAAATGGGACTCAATTTAGTGGTTCCCATTTATAATCTCCACCCTTGGGAGACTGAGACAAGAAGAGTGCCATGAGTTCAAGGCCAGCTTGGAGTACAGAGTGACAGCCTGCATAATACCCTTTTCTTAAAACAAAAAGGAGCCAGTGAATGGAGCCTGAATTCAATCCTTGGTGTCCATATCCTGGAAGGAGAGGACCAGTTCTCACAAGCTGTCCTCTGATCTCCAAACACACACTGTGAAATGCACAGGCACACATATAGGCTAATGTAAAAAAAGAAAAGAAAGGAATAAAAGCTTAAAGAGTATTTATATCAGATGTATCAAAAGAAGAAACCTATCCAATTATCATTCACAGAAAACTTAAATAGGGAAGTTCATGTGAGAAGATTCATGTGGCTATCAAAATACAAGAGGTACCGGGAACTTTCATGAAATGCTAATAAGAACGCAAAATGGTGTAGCTGCTATAGAAAACAGTGTGGCAATTCTCTAAAGTCAAATATAGAATCACTGTCTGATCGGTAGTTCTACCCTACAGTGTACACAAAAGAGATGAAAAGGAGGAGTCTAGTAGGTACTGCTGCCACAGTGTGCACAGCAGTGGGTTTTCTTCAGTTTAAATCGCCATTGTGCTAGATTTTAGCCTGCAGTCACTGCCGTGTTGTTTTTTTTTTTCTACCATGAATGGCATGAGAAATTTCCTGGTCAGATTTTTTTGCTACTTTTCAGTTGTCTTTATTCCTTGTTCCCTTCTTTATTGGGGGAGACTGCTTGTTCATTCCCAGCTGCCCAGAACCAAAATAACCACACAGAAACTGTATTAATTAAATCACTGTTTGGCTTATTAGCTCTAGCTTCTTTTTCTTCCACTTCCTCTCCTCCTCCTCCTTCTCCTCCTCCTCCTCCTTCTCCTCCTCTTCCTCCTCCTCCTCCTCCTCCTCCTCCTCCTCCTCCTCCTCTTCTTCTTCTTCTTCTTCTTCTTCTTTTTTGGTTTTCCTGTAGCTTTGGTGCCTGTCCTGGAACTAGCTCTTGTAGAACAGGCTGGCCTCAAACTCACAGAGATCCGCCAGCCTCTGGCTTCCAAGTGCTTGGACTAAAGGTGCATGCCACTACTGCCCAGCTTAGCTCTAGCTTCTTCTTGGCTAGTTCTTACATCTTTAATTAACCCATTTCTATTATTTTATATTTTACCATGAGGCTCATGGCCTACTGGCAAGGTTCCAGTGGGCCCTGGAGGGCTCAGGCAGAGGTGTCTGCCCCTACAGGCAGCTACGTGGCTTCTTGTTGAGTCCACCTTCTTTCTCCCAGCGTTCAGATACGTTTTCCCACCTAGCTCTATTCTGCTAAGCCATTGGCCAAAAGTGTCTTCTTTATTCATTAACCAATAAAATCAACATATATGTGTGTGTGTGTGTGTGTGTATACATATATACATACATACTTATATGGAGTTCCCATACCATTTCCCCTTTTCTACTTAAATTAAAAGGACGGTTTTTAACTTTAACATAGTAAAACTACATATAACAAACAGGTATCAAGCAAGAATTATAGTTACAATATTTATATCTACTTTATTTTTTATCTTAAGTAAGGAAAAGTATAACTATCTATTCTTCAACTCCATCAAAGATCCCAGAAGAACATAATATTACCTAAATAAACAGGAAGTACATTGTAAGCAACTTCCAAACCTCTAGAATTGAAAGAGACATCTCACTGCCTGGACGGTCACCCAAAGTTCTTCTGTAACATTGTGGGTACCTATCTTCAGCCTACTGGCCCATTGTATCCTGCAAAGTTTTCCATGAAACAGTAAATTTCAAAGACAGTTCCGCCTATATTGGCAGTTTGTCACCTTCTTCTGTGTCCTGCGGAATGTCTGGCAGACTCTTTCATGAAGCAGGAACCCCAAGGATGATCTCACCTTCTTTAGGCAACTTCAGCAGTCATTTTTCTGTGGCTCCTGCATGTCCAATCAAGTAGTTAAGGCAAAAGCAGCTTCTTGCCCAAATGGCTAGCCAATTCCATGAGAAGCCTCTTTGATGCCCATCATCTTCTTGAAGTAGATTGGTGTGATCAGGAGCAGATGTGTCTCATTGTCATGAAAAGTCCTAAGTTCTAAAAACA